TAAAATAGCTGGAAGACTACCTAACAAACAACCAGATGAGAATAACACGAAGAAACACACTGGAGTGGATGGATTGTCGGACAAGAGGCTACTAGACTTTAACCAATACAAATGCAAGGTTGTGAAATAGGAACAGTTGAAAGGAGGTCGAAGGAGCAGTACGCGCAGAAACACGTCAGAAGACTATACTAAGCTGGTAAATATCAGGACTGGTTACAGGAATCTATACATACTTTGAAAATTATATAAGAACATAAGAATGAAGGTAACTGCAGAAGGCCTATTGGCCCATACGAGGCAGCTTCTTTACAGCATCAGCCTGTAAATGTAGCAGATTTACAGCATCAGTCTCATCTTTGCTGGAATATGCAGCACCGGCATGGAACCCTCAATTCATAGGGTTCCGGTGGATGTAGAATACAGGAATTTTGCTAAAGCTTTTGATACCACATGAAAGACTGGCAAGAAAATTACAGGCTCATGGAATAAATGGTAAAATATTAGAATGGATAAAACAATGGTTGAATGAAAGAAAACAAAGGGTCGTGTTAAATGGAAATGAATCTGAATGAAGACATGTGACAAGTGGGTTGCCACAAGGGTTCACTTTGGGACCAACCCTTTCGGTCATATGCCATAGATGAGAATAATGCAAATCACATCATCATATTTGCAAATGACACAAAGATTTATTGTAAAGTGGGAAATTATAATATTGAAGCCTTACAAAGAGATCTACGTGACCTCAACAAGTGGTCAGAAAACTTGAAAATGCCTTTTAATATCGATAAAAGGCAAGATCCTGCATGTGGGGCATAACAACCCACGTCACAACTACCAAATTGATAACATTTCATTACAGCAAATTGATGAAAAAAAAGGACCTTGGAGTTGAAATCCACCACTCATTAAAAGTTGCACAACAGGTGGGAGCAGCAGTCTAAGCTAACCAAATTCTTGGGATAATCAAGCGTCCTTTTGACTTCAAGGAAAAGAAGGTAATGGTTCAACTGTATAAATCTCTGGTGCGTTCCCATTTGGATTAATGTATACAAGCATGGAGACCTGATTTTCAGCAGGACATAGCTGCTCTGGAGAAGGTGCAACACCGGGCTACAAAAGTCATTCCAGAGCTAAGACCTCAATCGTATAACGAACGCTTGAAGGTCACAGGACTAACAACACTGCAAACCAGGCATGACAGGGCGGATCTCATTGAAACCTTTAAAATACTGAACAATTTGGAGGATATTGATCCGGACAATCTCTTCAGAAGGTCAGATGTAACACAAACAAGGAGCAACGGTTTCAAGCTCAACAAGCCACAATGTGGGACTGAGAAGAGGAGATGCTTTTTCACCTACAGAGTTGTAACCCATAGAACCGCCTACCCGCCGAAGCTGTAACTGCCAAAACTGTGTTGGTTTTTCCATAACCCTGTAAAAGATCAAGGCAAATGGGGAGGGACCGTCGACAAGCCACAAACTTCCCGTCCTCGTCGAGGACACTAGGGTTAGTGGCCCTCGGGTAAATCAGGTAAAAGTACCAACAAAAATTAAGAAAATATAGGTTAACTACAATCTATCTTTTGATAGACTGTAAGAATGGTGAGTAAGAGAGAATAGGAAGCTGAACGACGGAACACACTGAGGGAAATGGCCAGAGAGATAGAGATAGATAGAGAGAGAGAGAGAGATAATGCAGTAAATTATCAGATTTTTTTCCAGAGATATTCCTGCGTGCGCTCTAGGTCTCTGGCTGGCCCACAAAATTTTAATTTTTTCTGTTTTACTTAGGCTTATGAGTATTTATGACGCTTCAGTAAGATTTTGTCCCATGTGTTTAACAACAACTTCTGCTCTGTTAAATCAAAGTTGAAATCTAATTGGGTTTGTAACTGTGCACTGTGTTAGATGATGTTCCAGTGGTCTGTCGGGCATTTCTCCACAGTGCTGACATTTCCTCTCATCTTCCGGAACCTGTAAGCCTATTTCCCATGCACATGGGTATCCAAGCCTGATGCGATGTAAGTGTACTTCTGTTGCTCTACTGCTCCCTTTCATCAACATAAGTGGTTCGGAGTCGATTGAAATCTTGTACCATCCCGCAGATCCTGATGTTGCAACTGCTGTATTGTGGTCACTGTACATCTTCTGCATTGCTCAATTTCTAATTACTTTCTTACTCTGTGATAGACTCTGTGGTATGTAAATATCTACATTTCTTCTCTTTGTTGCAAGTTTTGCAGCTTCATCTGCAATGTCATTTCCTATTATTCCCACATGACTTAGCATCCAGTTGATACGAACCCGTCGGCCTTGACGTTTGAGCGCATTAATGATATAACATTTGTGATCAGATGGGTATTGTCTCGTACGTGTTCTTGTTGCAAGTTTTAATGATCAGATGACCGGCAGTTGAAAAGGCGTGACCCAGGAGCTGAAAGTTGACCCGGCGTACTCTGATACGTGAGGACTCTCGTGTACCAACTCGACACACCAGCCGTTCTGTACCTCACCACTACGTAAAGAATTGAGCGGTTTGGCCTAACCAAAAGCGTCAAAAACCTAGTCAACGCACCAAGCTACCAGTCCCGGTGCTCATTAGTCCCTGCAAGTGTCAGTTTGCGGTGGTTTTGATGTCTCTAAACCACCGCAATTTTAGCGTTGGGCGCGCCTGCTCTGCAAGGCTTGCGCGCCAGAACGCGAATGCACCTGACGGCGCGCGCATGGGTGCGTGGTGGAGTCTTAGGAACTCCTGCGCATGCGCCAGTCTTGCCCGTTCTCACGGTCTGATTGCTTCCACCCGTATCCTCCCCCCCCCCCCCCACACTCTCTGAGGGCCTCCAACGCCCTTCCATTAAGACCAGGTTATATAAAGCCGCCACTAATCCAACCCATTCAGGGGGAAAAACTCCAACTGGAGGATTTACAGATAAATCTGTACAACAGCCGGCCACTCGCTGTTTAGTTAGGAACAGGTTTGATTTGAAGACATGTATCAGGCTGTAGCAGGCTGTAGCAGGCTGTATCAGGCTGGCGCTGCCCGCACCCGGATGGCCCGTCTCCTGCGGGTTTTGGCAATACTGCTGCTATGAATATAGTAGTGTACCAGTAACAATTAAAATGTTTACTGCAGGTTTAAAATAGCGACTTGGTGCTATTTGAGGAGCTTGGGTAAGCCTAGACTCTGTATATATACAGTCAACTGTATATATATATATATACACTTGGCTGGATTTAAATACATTAACAGTATAGTTTAACGGGTAAAAGACACCTGGGAATAGCTTTACTGAATCTGGGTTAAGAGTATTATTTATATGAAGGCAAAAAGCAGCACATTTTATTGGTTAAAAATAGTAATTCTGAATAGGTGACGGGAAACGTATCCAATCATTTCTGTCCCGTTCGGGATTCGAACTCGGTATTTCCGATTGTGAGTTGACAACGAACCCAACTGTACTACCGAAACCCTAAAATGTAACAATGCATTTTTTTACGTTAACCTGACACGTGTTGTGCAAACATGTGAAGCAGCTTACAGCAGTAACACCTGTGAGTACTCACAGCTTACAGCAGTAACACCTGCGAGTACTCACACAGCTTACAGCACTAACACCTGCGAGTACTCACACAGCTTACAGCACTAACACCTGTGAATACTCACACAGCTTACAGCACTAACACCTGCGAGTACTCACACAGCTTACAGCACTAACACCTGCGAGTACTCACACAGCTTACAGCACTAACACCTGTGAATACTCACACAGCTTACAGCACTAACACCTGTGAATACTCACACAGCTTACAGCACTAACACCTGCGAGTACTCACACAGCTTACAGCACTAACACCTGCGAGTACTCACACAGCTTGGACAAACAGTTGAGTAGCAATCCGCTCCTTGGTGGTGGCGCTGTCATATAATCCTTATGAAATTAACACAAAATTACTCAGTGTTACGAATATCCATGTAACTGTTACCTATATGTGGCTAATATAACGGTATATGATATAGAAGGAACGAACAATTAAGATGATATTTAAATGGGAGGTATCGTAACCCGTGGTGGTCAAGACCGTTGACCGGGTCAGCCTCCCTCCCCCCAGGTCAGGTGGGGTCCCTCCCCCCCCAGGTCAGGTGGGGTCCCTCCCCCCCAGGTCAGGGGGTCCCTCCCCCCCCCTCCCCCCTAGGTCAGGTGGGGTCCCTCCCCCCCAGGTGGGGTCCCTCCCCCCCCAGGTCAGGTGGGGGTCCCCCTCCCCCCCCCCCTCCCCCCCAGGTCAGGTCAGGTGGGGGGTCCCTCCCCCCCAGGTGGGTCCCTCCCCCCAGGTCAGGTGGGGTCCCTCCCCCCAGGTCAGGTGGGGTGGGGTCCCTCCCCCCCCCAGGTCAGGTGGGGTCCCTCCCCCCCCCAGGTCAGGTGGGGTCCCTCCCCCCAGGTCAGGTGGGGTCCCTCCCCCCAGGTCAGGTGGGGTCCCTCCCCCCAGGTCAGGTCGGGTCCCTCCCCCCAGGTCAGGTCGGGTCCCTCCCCCCAGGTCAGGAGGAGTGACCTGCCTACCTCGTCACTCACACCCATATCGGAAATTGTGACGTGAGGTCAGGAGGTAGAGTATATTTACCTCATTTTGACCTAATACTAGTGACCTCGACGGGGACAGGAGGCAGGCGGTTTGTCAAAGGGTCCCCCTCCTCCTCCCTCGATTTTTTTCCTGATGACCTTTTCCAGTTCTATTTTTAAAATCTCCATGATCCCATTAAAACCATGTCCTGTGGGTCAACGAAGGTCATGTTCCCTATCGTTTCCTCTCCTATTCTTGCCTCTCCCTTCTATCCCTCTTATACCACCTCCCCCATTTACCACCACCTCCCTATCCCTTTCCAACTTTATGCCACCCTATCCTACCTCTTCTCCTTCCACCCCACTATCCCCCCCACCCCTAGTGCAGGTGTGCCTAGGGTGGGTGTGGTTAGTGCAGGTGTGGCATGTGTGGGTGTGACTACTGAGTTTTGACACAGTCACGAAACAAATCAAAGTCAATAATTGCAAGACTTGTCATATCTTCCATCGTCCTGGGAACCACAAGGGTCGAGGCATCTTCCATCGTCCTGGGAACCACAAGGGTCGAGGCATCTTCCATCGTCCTGGGAACCACAAGGGTCCAGGCATCTTCCATCGTCCTGGGAACCACAAGGGTTGAGGCATCTTCCATCGTCCTGGGAACCACAAGGGTTGAGGCATCTTCCATCGTCCTGGGAACCACAAGGGTCGAGGCATCTTCCATCGTCCTGGGAACCACAAGGGTTGAGGCATCTTCCATCGTCCTGGGAACCACAAGGGTTGAGGCATCTTCCATCGTCCTGGGAACCACAAGGGTTGAGGCATCTTCCATCGTCCTGGGAACCACAAGGGTTGAGGCATCTTCCATCGTCCTGGGAACCACAAGGGTCGAGGCATCTTCCATCGTCCTGGGAACCATAAGGGTTGAGGCATCTTCCATCGTCCTGGGAACCACAAGGGTCGAGGCATCTTCCATCGTCCTGGGAACCATAAGGGTTGAGGCATCTTCCATCGTCCTGGGAACCACAAGGGTCGAGGCATCTTCCATCGTCCTGGGAACCACAAGGGTCGAGGCATCTTCCATCGTCCTGGGAACCACAAGGGTCGAGGCATCTTCCATCGTCCTGGGAACCACAAGGGTCGAGGCATCTTCCATCGTCCTGGGAACCACAAGGGTCGAGGCATCTTACGTCGTCCTTGGAACCACGAGGGTCCCGGGAACCACGAGGGTCCCGGGAACCACGAGGGCCCCGGGAGGGTCCCCCGGTCCCGTCCTGGGAACCACAAGGTTGGAGAAATTGAAAAGTTCCTCGCAACATTTTGGTGAAAATAAAAAAGTTCTCGTGTCTAATTTATCGTTCTCATCGGTGAGGTTCTCGTCGTTCTCATCGTTCGTCAGTAATAGGACATATTGGGATGAGACGGATTTTTTTTTGACATGGCGAGTTTTTGACAGGTATTTTGATGGGACGGATCCTAATGGGACAGAGTACAGTGGCTCTGATCTCTGTCTCCCATATAAACACCTGTGTTGTTTAGCACTGTATTGATGTTTGGCTTGACCGACTGCGATGTTGACCGCACAGGAGTAAACGGTTTATCCGATCTTTCCACCGGATACTACGCAACTATAGTGTCAGTGTCGAACCGGATCCGTATTATCGGTATCTCACCGGTTTCCTTTTTGTTTTCTCTCTCTCTCTAGTATCCGGACTCTGTTCGTCTGGGTGTTTAGTTCAGTGTTTCCTGCTCATGTCGCTCGCTCACTCGCTCGCTCGCTCACTCACTCACTCACTCACTCACTCACTCACTCACTCACTCACTGTACTCACCTAATTGTGCTTGCGGGGGTTGAGCTCTGGCTCTTTGGTCTCTCCCTCCCAACTGTCAATCAACTGGTGCACAGATGCCTGAGCCTACTGGGCTCTATCATATCTGCATTTAAAACTTTGTATGGAGTCAGCCTTCACCACATCACTTCCGAGTGCATTCCGCCTGTTAACTACTCTGACACTGAAAAAGTTCTTTCTAACGTCCCTGTGGCTCATTTGGGTACTCAGTCTCCACCTGTGTTTCCTTGTTCGAATACCCCCCGTTTTAAACAATTTATTTTTATCTACCCTGTCGATTCCTCTTAGAATTTTGTAAGTCTTCCCGAGCTCTCCTATCTTCCAGCGACGTTAGGTTCATTTCCCGCAGCCTTTCCTCGTAACTCATGTCTCTCAGTAATGGGACTAGCCTAGTGGCATACCTTTTGAACTTTTTCCAGTTTAGTCCTGTGCTTGACTAGGTACGGGCTCCATGCTGGGGCCGCATACTCCAGGATTGGTCTTACACATGTGGTATACAAGGTTCTGAATGATTCCTTACACAGGTTCCTGAAGGCTGTTCTGATGTTAGCCAGCCTCGCATACGCCGCAGATGTTATTCTTTTTATTTGGGCTTCAGGAGACAGGTTTGGTGTGATATCAACTCCTAGATCTTTCCCTTTGTCCGTTTCATGGAGGACTTCTTCGGTATTCTGTTTCTGGCCTCCTGTTTCCATTGCCTAGTTTCATTACCTGTAGTAGCCATGTGTTGGACAAGTCATTTGGTTTGTCTAGGTTATCTTGTAGCCTCATACTATCTTCGTCAGAGTTAATCCTCTTCATAATTGTTGCATCATCAGCAAACATTGAGAGGAACGAATCTATTCCTCTGAGAGATCATTCACATATATCAGAAACAGTATAGTCCAAGGACTGAACTCTGCGGGACTCGACTGGTGACACTTTGCCAGTCTGAGACCTCGCCCCCCTCACAGTGACTCGCTGTCTTCTGTTGCTTAGGTACTCCCTTATCCAATGGAGTACCTTCCCTTTCACTCTTGCCTGCATCTCCAGCTTGTTCACTAGTCTCTTATGTGAAACTGTGTCAAAGGCTTTCTGGCAATCCATAAATATGCAGTCTGCCCACCCCCTCTCTTGCCTGATTTTTGTTGCCTGGTCGTAGAATTAAATTAATCCTGTGAGGCATGACTTGCCATCCCTGAAATCATGTTGGTGTTGTGACACAAAGTTCTTTCGCTCCAAATGTTCCACTAGCTTTTTTCGCACAATCTTTTCCATAAACTTGCATGGTAGGCAAGTTGGGGACACTGGCCTGTAGTTTAGTGCCTCCTACCTATCCCCCTTTTTTGTATATTGGGACTACATTAGCAATCTTCCAAATTTTTGGCAGCTCCGTTGTTACCAGTGATTTGTTATACACTATGGAGAGTGGCAGGCACATTGCTTCTGCTCCTTCCTTTAGTGTCCAAAGTGAGATTCCATCCGGGCCTATAGTCTTTGTCACTTCCAATTCTAGCAACAAGCTTCCTCACCTCGCTACTAGTAATCGCAAACTCCTCTAGTAGTGCCTGATTATCTATTCCCTCTCTTATATCTGGAACTTCTCCTTGCTCTAATGTGAAGACCTGGAATTTCTTAGTTCCTCACACACTTGTCGTTTGTAGTGAACCTTCCCCCCCCCCCCCCCACCTCAGTTTCACTGCCTGTTCCTTCACTGTTGTTTTCCTCCTGATGTGGCTGTGCAGTAATTTAGGTTGAGTCTTTGCTTTGCTTGCTATGTCATTTTCATATTGCCTTTTTGTGTGTCTTCTCACCCTATCGTATTCATTCCTGCCTCTCTGGTATCTTTCTCTACTCTCAAGTGTCCTGTTATTTACAGAGTTTCTCCACGCCCTTGTACTTAGTTGCTTTGCTAGCTTACATCTCTGATTAAGCCATGGGTTTTTCATCTGCATTTCATTTTTTTCCTTTTAGACTGGGACGAACTTGTCTGTTACTTCCTTACACTTCTGCGTGATGTAGTCCATCATGCCTTAGGCCGTCTTTCCTCCGAGCTCTGTTTCCCCAAGTTATATCTATTGGGAATTTTCTTATCTCATCATAGTTTCTATTTAGGATGCCAGCCTTTTGCTTTCTGGGCCCTTCCTTGGGTACATTAACCCAAATTTTCCTCGACCAAATACTCAAACATCAGTACACTGTGATCACTCATTCCCACAGGGGCTTCGAAACCGATTTCCCTTATGTCGGAGTCATTTAGAGTAAAGACTAGGTCGAGTCTCGCTGGTGTGTGTGTGTGTGTGTGTGTGTGTGTGTAGCTGCGCTAACACACACACTCTCTCTAGCAAGGTGGCCAGAGAGTGTTTGGAAGATTTTCACGGGATTTCAGCACATTTAGATGTGCAGAGACGAGTGTCTTGGAGCATGCGCGCACGCTCACTCCCGTCATTATGTGCACGCTTGGCCTTAGTCTTGTGGGAGTGTTTTTGGAACGTGTTTTAGAAATATTTGTGCACTTTCATGTGTTTGCATGTCTGGGAGGTGCTTAAATACAGAAGATTTGCGGTAGTTCCTTTAACTATTCTTTGTCTTAAAATTATATATCGAGGATCTTGCTTTCCTTCAAGTAAGGTGTCACCACTTTGGACCACCAGCTGTGGGAGCGGGGCGTCGCATCGGGCCGCCAGCTGTGGGAGTGGGGCGTCTCATCTTGGGCCACCTGCTGTGGGAGCGGGACGTCTCATCTTGGGCCACCAGCTGTGGGAGTGGGACGTCTCATCTTGGGCCACCAGCTGTGGGAGTGGGGGGACCATCTTGGGCCACCAGCTGAGGGAGCGGGGCGTCTCATCTTGGGCCACCAGCTGAGGGAGCGGGGCGTCTCATCTTGGGCCACCAGCTGAGGGAGCGGGGCGTCTCATCTTGGGCCACCAGCTGTGGGAGTGGGGGGACCATCTTGGGCCACCAGCTGAGGGAGCGGGGCGTCTCATCTTGGGCCACCAGCTGAGGGAGCGGGCGTCTCATCTTGGGCCACCAGCTGTGGGAGCGGGGCGTCTCATCTTGGGCCACCAGCTGAGGGAGCGGGGCGTCTCATCTTGGGCCACCAGCTGAGGGAGTGGGGCGTCTCATCTTGGAGCAATCTTTCTAACATCGGGTCCTCTAACATTTCGATGGTGTTCCACACCCTGATGGCTTGGTGCTGCAGTCTGATGTTTAGTGGCTGTATGTTCAGGAGTTCATGGAGCTCCTGGATTGTCTGATCATATGGTGGACGGTGTTTTGCTACTCTCCTTGGTGCCATATTTTATACTGCTTGTATTTGCATGTTAGTTTTCTTTAAGATGTACAGTGGTACTGGGGGAATATGCTGCCGGAGTAAGACATTATATGTCTTACTCCGGCATCTCCCCCATCTGGACATCTCCCCCAGTACAGTGGTACTGGGGGAGATGCTGCCGGAGTAGAGCCTTATATAGGTGTATCTGTATGTTTGTACTGAGGTTTCGGAGTCTCCTCTGTTTTCCTAAGGCTACGTTGGCTTTGTTTAGTCGGTCCATTATGTGAATTTTTATCCCTATTCTATTGATCATGAGTCCCAGTATTCTGCCTACCTCCGCATATTGGATCAGATGGTTGTCAAGCATGATGGGGTCCGGGTTTCTTGTTGCAATGTGTATTATCTGGAACTTTTGTTTGTTGGTGCTAATTTTCCATTATTTCTCAAAGTTGTTTATGAATTCAGTTGCTGCCTTGGTCTTGTCGGCTAGTTGCGGCTTTGATGGTCTTGGTTGGTATATTATTTGGGTGACATCGTCAGCGTATGTGTTGGGGTTGGGGTAGATCAGCTGTATATATGTTGAATAGAGTGGGAGAGAGGCAGCTTCCTTGTGGTACTCCTTTTTAATTCTTGCATGTCACCCAAGTAGCTGTCGATATTGCGCCTAGCAGTTCTGTTGTCTATAAAGCTACAGAGCGTAGCAGTAAATCTCTGTGGGAGTCCTAGCTCAGATATCTTATAAATTAGGCCTGTGTGCCACACTTTGTCGAAGGCTTTCAAAACGTCTCTAAGCACTAGATTACACTGATCTCTCTTCAACATTGCGTTAGCAATATGCTGGTAGATCAGGGCTATGGCTGTATGGGCCCCTCTGCGGTTTCTAAACCCATGCTGCCTTGTGTTATACTTCTCTTCCATGTACTTAACAAATCTCTGATTATTTTCTCGAAAATTTTGCCTGGTACTTCGAGGAGGGAAATTGGACTGTAATTTTCAGTTTGGGTTGGGGGTTTACCTGACTCCTGGATTAATCTGTTTGTGGCATTCTTGAAGTATGTGGGGAATAGTCCAGATGCAAGAGCTGCATTTACTATACATGTGTATTGATGGAGTGCCATCTCTGGTAGGTTGGTTAATACCTTCTTTGCCCAGAGACCTGAAAGCTGCTGTAATAAAAGCTATTGTGGGAACCGACCTGTGAGATTTATATTTATTTGATTTATATAAAATTTATATTTGTTAATTTATATATTTCGATAGCAATTTGTATGATGTTTAGTGGACTGTATTTCTACAATATTCTCCCAAATAGATTCTTACACATTAGGGGGGGGTATATTAAATTTATATATATGCAGCCAATCAAACTATAGTATTAAACCACATATATTAGTAATAAAATTATGAGGCCTTATCTTATTGTACAGCAGGCTTAGTCCACCAGGTATGAACACGAATGATGACACGAAATAATCCTTGTGTGAGGCTAGCATCCATCACCCCTGTACTGTTATACCAAACAACTGTACTGCTTCCTTTTCTATAATTCCTGTCAAAGGGCACTAGCTGTAAAGCCGAAATCCTAATATATTATTAGGATTTAGTGGACAGCTATATCAGATGAGTATTTGTTATATTATTAGATACAGATTAATTACCTGAGTTGAGTCGTTGCCTCATGTCCTACCCGGAATTAATCATATCTACCTAACATTACTGGCCAATAATGACTTGGATAAGATTTCGGAAAGACACTTCCCTTGCTTGGATGTTAACTACGTGTTGATGATGGAAAAAGCACTAATTTGATCTCCATAACCCTTCGTCCAAGGGAAATTATAGGAGTGGAATTTGCTCCAGCGACTATGGTCGCTGACCTCCTCTTTCTGACAATGGCTGACCTTCCTCACCACTGACTCTCCTGGCTCTTTGTCCAGATGTCAATAAGTGATAGAAGGGTCACATTTACTCTATTTTGATACTGATAATTAAGTTAATTCAAATGAGTTGTTTTTATGGTGTAATAAGCCTAAATACTACTGTATTAACAATAATTCCCAACAGAATAGCTGGTGAATTTATTGCACTGTGGCAATGATATCCCGTTTTCTATTGACGGAAAATTCCACTACAAGCTACATTTTCTATTGGTTAACTTGTGCATACAACAGCAACAATATTATCTGCCTATTGTATTTAATATTAGTATTGTATTTAATAATGGCAACTTTTGTAATAATAGGTATTTGTATGGCCAGCACAGTAACAGGACCAGACAGTGTGATGTAGTCATTGCGCGAATTCGCCTTGGCTATAGACACATCTGGCAGCTTAGTGAGGCTGAGCCACTATAGACTGGTCGCCCCACGGGAGTGGGGCGACCAGAATATTCAGATTGCAAACTCTGTGACAAACCTTTAATACATTCACTAGAACGCTATGTTGTTGAATGTGAAACCGTAAAAGATTTTAGACCTCCTGACCTATTGTACCACCAACTGTGTAACTATTTCATTGAATCTAATGTACTGGACGACATCCTAACAATTTATTCAAAATTTGCTTGTCCATTTTAAAGAATGAAGAACAATTTTATATTACTTTTAAGCTGCATCTCTTATGAACCCATCCCTGCCCTTGTGTGGCAGTGCACAATAGAAAGGTGATTTTACATATTCATACATAAAAACATTGAATGTAGCCATTATATATACATGTGCTTCAGCCTACAGTTTAGACCTATTGTCTTGTGTATGACCCTCTGTCCTGCGTGACAGTGAATACCAGCATTATCCTCACTCTAATAAGACTTAATTGAAATCCTCAGATTAGGCAAAATTGTAATTAAATTTTGTCAACAAAGATATTGATAATAATTATTTATCCTGCTATTGCCCGGCGCCTTGTTCTTGAAACCCATAATTGTTTCATGAACCTCTCCAATAGTTGTGTTTCATAAGATGGCTCATTGCGAATGTTGTTAAGGTCTATTGTTTGCGTCGGGAGTAGTGCTGCAGCTCTGTTATCGACTTGAGTTGTAATTTCCCTTTCATTAATGGGCCAAAAGTTTAAATTTTCTTCTGGGTTTATTCTAAATATTTTTTTCCCAGAACTTTGTTCATGTTCCTGAACTCCTGATCTTGTTCTCTCTCCTCGTAGAGTTTATTTCCTGAGGCGTCTGTGATGTAGGTTGTTTCCTCAGCTGAGTTTCCCATCAGGGTTTTTACATTTTTCCTGGGTTTCTGTAGTCGACTTGAAAATGAAATAAGTTTATTGAGGTAAAATACACACAAAGGGATGAGGTAGCTCAAGCTATTCTCACCCCGTTCAGTACATAGTGTTAATACATACATAGACACACATCACAAACAATAAACATATTACCAAACATTCTGAGAGATAAACATCTACATTTCCTGTAGTCGACTTGGATTTTGCTTATTAGGTCATCCCATTTTTTAGTGTGGGAGTGGGGGCGACCGCCTTGGACCAGCAGGTGTGGGAGTGGGGCGACCGTCTTGGACCTGCAGGTGTGGGAGTGGAGCGACCGTCTTGGACCTGCAGGTGTGGGAGTGGGGCGACCGTCTTGGACCTGCAGGTGTGGGAGTGGGGCGACCGTCTTGGACCAGCAGGTGTGGGAGTGGGGCGTATGTGTGTGTGTGAGAGAGAGAGAGAGAGGGGGGGGGGGAGTGGTATAGCTAAGATAAGCTTGCTCGCTCTTGTCAGCTCTACGAGCTTTCGTGAAGTTCGTCTCGTGTAATTCAACATATATGAAATTCACGAGACAAATTTTACCCTCACAGGTGGAGGGAGGGGCAGGTGGAGGGAGGGGCAGGTGGAGGGGTGGAGAAAGGAAGGGATGAAGGGAGAGGAGAGTGAAGGAAATAGCGTTAGAGAAAATAGTGAAGGGAGAGTGAGAGGAACTAGTGAGATGGACGGAGAGAGGAGCAGGAAGGAGTGGGAGGGAGGGAGGGAGGGAGGGAGGGAGGGGGGGAGAGGAACTGAGGGAGGATAGGAGTGGGAGGTGTGGAAGGAGGAGAGAGGGAGGGAGCGTCATTCAGGTGGCTAGAGACAGCATCCCGACCCCCCTCCTCCTCCCCCATCCTTCCCCTTCCCTCCGCCCAACCCCCCCACTCCTCCACCCCCACCCCTCCCCAGCGTTTCCTTACTCTTGTTGTCGTTGATGTCCATTTCTAGACGACGGCGCCATCCGCTCTTAGAATTTCTGTAAATTCTTTGTTGAAAACCTTCTGTGGACATAATTTTGAGCTCATTAGTGATATATTTAACATAGACCAAATAATACACAAAATGCTATGCACTTGGCAAAAATAAAAACATTTTAGTATTACACGTAATACTGAGGTTGCATTTAATTCTGCAAAAAAAACAAAAACTGGTAATTATGGCGATGCAAGTACATAAAAGGTCGCAGCACGTGTTGGTAAAACAGCCAGTGTGTGTTTTTGTCCTGTTATAAACCACATTTTTGTTGATGCTACCAACCTGGAAGGGTGCTCTTGCGTTTGGCAGCGCGACCAGAGATCAGTCTTGGGTGACAGCATCGTACAGTGGGCGGAAGAAGGCATCTTGTCTCTCTCTTCTCTCTCTCTCTCTTCTCTCTCTCTCTCTCTCTCTCTCTCTCTCTCTCTCTCTCTCTCTCTCTCTCTCTCTCTCTCTCTCTCTCTCTCTCTCTCTCTCTCTCTCTCTCTCTCTCTCGCTACTCTCTTCTACATACTTACCACTTGCACTTTACAACTTACTTTAGCGCAAGGTATACATATGTTAGCACACATTGCTGTGAGTAGTTGTTAACGGCGAGTTTTGCATAGCCATAGCAAAGCCTGATTAATAACACGAGCATGTTGGCAGCATCACCTACAGGCGGGAAGTAAGAGGAAAAACTAATGTATCTCTATGAAAAATTGACGTTATCCATCGAGAAACTTGCTCTGCGTTCAAGACTTCCGTATATCTAGACACATGCTCCCTTTAAAGCGACACCAGAGCGCAAGGAGGAGGTAAACAAGTGACTGGGAATTAGAGAATATGGCGGCGTATGGCACGTTATCCCAGGGTGGTGATGGGTGCTGGGGGGGAGGGAGGGAGGGAGGCCTCCCCCAGGGGACGGGTCGGGGAGGGCGGCCCTCCAGTGTGGCTGAGGCTTCAGTCTGCGTTGTACCCTCATAGCTACAGGCAGCCTCACCAGCCGCTCACTGAGGTGTGTGTTGCAGTGTCTTAAAAGCATTTCTCGCGAACAGGTGTTTGTTGTTATAAAGCGTTGTAAGTAAAAATTGGTCGGCCGTCTACACTTTATTTCTTCTCTGTCCTAACACTCTATGGGAAGGGTTGTATATGTGTGTGTGTATATATATATATTATACATATATCATTGTTTTGGTATACGAGTGTCTTTATTTTATATATATACGTGATAGAAATTTGTGTATATCTTCATTGATGAACTTTGAAAATTTGGACTGGTGTGGTTTTTTTCTTGTGTGTAGTGACGAACTTGAGAAAACTTGCTAAGAACGGTGAAGTGAAAAGTTTTGTATACCAGTGAGGCAAGTGCATACTTGTGTATATGCACTTGCAAACAATGGATGTGATTTCAACTATATAGTGCTGTGGAAAACAAAATCGAAAACTAAATGTCAAGAAGCAACTTGTACTCGTATGTTGGTGAGCGGCTTAACCTCACGTTTGGAGAAGGAAACTTATTTTTTATGGACAGAATAATGCCCGTTGAAACACGTCCACCCGTTGAAACACGTCCACCCGTTGAAACACGTCCACCCGTTGAAACACGTCCACCCATTGAAACACGTCCACCCGTTGAAACAGGTTCACCCGTTAACATGGGGTTTCACCCGTTGAAACATGTTCATCATTACATTACCGGTAGTAGCTGCAACAACTACCTTGAACGACACACTACGAGACAAGGATGAAACTCGTGACCATGAATGACTGATACATGTGGGAATGGTTATCGTTTATGTGGTGATAAGAGCTATCTCTCTCTTACTGATGTGTATCTGAGCCAAAGGCTCTGGACAGCTCCTCCTCACTCAAAACACCGGTTTCCGGTATATTTATTTGCCATCTATCATTTGTGGATGTATATATATATATATATATATATATATATATATATATATATATATATATATATATATATATATATATATATATATATATATACTGTATAACCAATTATATTATATATATATGTCAAAATGTTTAATGTAACCGCATTTCTGATTAGTTATATGGACACCAATCCTGTTTGTCCAATTTTTTTTAATTCATAGAATTAGTGTGTATTTAGGTTGAGAGTGAGGCAGTTAGTCTACCACATAATACACGCAATGTGAAGGGTTGCACAACGTCACATTGAACATTACTTGAGAGAGAGAAAAGTGGTAAACTGGTGATTTGGACTTATCTTCATTTCCTGCCGTGGTGGAGATAGAGGCAGATAGCCTACGTGCTTCCCCTGGTGAGAGATAGGGCTTATCATCAGCCGTTTGTTGTAATGGTTTGATAATACGTGGAGCGACTTCCACCTCTGGGTCACTGTAACATCATCGTCACTTTTTTTTTGGTTTGGGGGGGGGGAGTAGGTTAGTGTTTAACTGTTCTCTTTTAAAGTATTTAATTTGGCGTTTAAGTAGAGCCGAGTTATATTTAAATAAATCCACAAGGGCCGTGACGAGGATTCGAACCTACGTCCGAGAGCATCCCTGAGTTATATTTGTTATTAAGCAATATCATCTTACGACCAATATGTAAAATGTCCTAAAATATGTCATTAGTTCATTGCTCTTTATTCATTTAGTTATTTCCTTACCCAAAAATGCAAGTTCGAATTGGGTAAGCGTCTCACGCTTTAAGGATTGTGTCAAAAGCTTGTAAAGTCATTATTGTGCTGTAAAGGTAGCAGTATAATAACTTAAAATAAGTCTCATATATATGCGTTTGATATATTTAGCGAGTAGACGTGTCAAAAACAGCGCCTTACGTAGCCGTGCCCTTGCCATTATCAGCCTGGTTTGCTTAATGGGTTTTCGATGTTGCTTGTCCTCTGGTAGTCCACTATCTTCGGCGTTTAATGAGTCTCACTGCAAACTATCGTGACATTTGATAAAATACTTTTTTGACCTGACAGGCAAGGTGCATTGCTGCCTGTAACACTGTAGCAGTGTTGTATCTTGCATATGATTTTAAGAGTTAAATGGTCGTGTTCAAGGTGTTTCATGAGTGGTATATAGATGTACGTGTACGCGAGTAGCCTATTGTGTGTGTGTCATCCGGGTTGGCTCGGTTAGTCGTCCACGCTGGCGGCCGCTTACATGCTCTGAATTTATTGAATGTTTTTGTTCGTTTTTTTTTTTTTTTAATTCTGATATGTTCGTGCTGTTCAATATTCGAGGTTTTTACTTGTTAAAGTCAGAGGGATGTGTGTGTGTGTGTTCACTTGGGTGCTGGTAGATCAGTGCTGAGGTATGCTCTAACAATCTGTATCGGTTCTGACTCGATATGACATGATTGCGGTGTCCATAGATAAAAAAATTAAAAATTATAATAATAATAGCACCAACAACAATTTACCCTTAAAACATCCTAACATATACAAATGTATTGGAGTGTGTATATGCGAATGCTACACAGTATTCATATATAAACATCCATATAAGTATGATTAAACACATGTGAAGAACCTCTCACACACTCACAGCTCCCTGACAAGAGAGAGAGAGAGAGCGAGCGAGCTTAGCTGCCAACACCCACACATCGTGTCAGCAAGGCGGACAGCCCGTCTCCTGTCATATAACTGTATTCCCCCATTTCCAAACTTTACCCCTTCACCTATGCATCCATCTTCCCCCCCACCCCCCACCCCAAAAAAGGAGGGTTGCCATTTATCAACTTTAAAGAGAACTAGTTGAGATCGAGACGTCAAGTGTCCGTAAAGAACAACAGTAAGACATGGTATAAATATGCACTTTTCTTTTGAGAAAAATATATGTACATTCAGTAGTATAATATTTACTTGCTTGGTATAATTGTTGTACATCATCAGCGTCAGTATTATATGTTATGGTGCACAAACCTGCTTGTCAGTACAGTAGATCAAAGGTAGAGACGGTAGGCCTAATTGGTCAATATGTTTGACAATGGGTCTACTTGTAGATCATCTTTTGTGGTCATGGTTCTGATACCAGATCACTTGTAGTGGCTCCTATTTGTTTGATATAGCTATAAATGACTGGACGTGCATGTTAAGAAATGATGTCACACTACTGTAGATGGTTGATTGATGAAGATTAAGCCACCCAAGAAGTGGCACGGGCATGAATTTCTTTAGTGTAGTTTGCATTAAAGGATTGTAGTTTGTGGCACCAAGTTTTGGAGTCTGTAAGTCGGTTTACATTGGCCTCGTTTTACTTAAATTAAAGCTACCTTATAGACGTTCATTTATCTTAACGTTGGGGTCTGTTGTTCCGAACCTCCTTTGTGTAATTTATTGTCGCCTGCTGCCCACTCTGGCTTTCCTAATTGCATTGTCGTTTCGGTATTATGAATGCTGGTGGTTGCAAAATTTACATATGAAAATATTCCAATTATAAGACCCAAACTAGTATTTATTTTCTTAAATATATTAGTAATTTTGGCTGAAGCAGGAATGTCTGAGTTAACTTCACCTTCCCCAGGATTCACCGTGCGTCGTTCAAGGCTGCTGGCAAACGCGGAAATGACTGCAGGATAGGGAAGGTGGCGAGCGGGGAGACCTTCTCCTAACTTGGCGCAGCGCTAATGTGTGTGTGCTTTTAACGGTGGCCCCAGACGGCACGTCACCCAGCCGGACCTGTGGTAGGAAATGTGGGATTGACAGCAGCCATTCGGCACTGTGATGTAGAGGATGGAGGCGTGTGGGTGGCTGAGTGCATGGGCGTGGGAGATGGCAACGTGCGGGTGGCTGAGTACATGGGCGTGGAAGATGGCAACGTGCGGGTGGCTGAGTACATGGGCGTGGGAGATGGCAACGTGCGGGTGGCTGAGTACATGGGCGTGGGAGATGGCAACGTGCGGGTGGCTGAGTACATGGGCGTGGAAGATGGCAACGTGCGGGTGGCTGAGTACATGGGCGTGGGAGATGGCAACGTGCGGGTGGCTGAGTACATGGGCGTGGAAGATGGCAACGTGCGGGTGGCTGAGTACATGGGCGTGGGAGATGGCAACGTGCGGGTGGCTGAGTACATGGGCGTGGGAGATGGCAACGTGCGGGTGGCTGAGTACATGGGCGTGGGAGATGGCAACGTGCGGGTGCGTGGATACGGGTGTGGATATATAGGAGAAGAGGCGCAAATTTGGTTTGGCCTCGAGTACTGTGAAGTGTTCTGTTTTGACGCGTAATACTGATTTCATAATACAGTACTTCAACGTGTTAACTGATCCTTTCTAGTACCATATTGTATGGTATTGTTCCATCACCATTGGACTACGGCACTAGCAGCACAGACTATGGCAGTGTTGTATGTGGCAGCCGGCAGAGGGTAGGGTAGGTACCCTTGCTTAGCGTCAGTCGCAGGCAGCTGACACCGTGGCTGCCGCTCCTCACCCCCCACACCCCTCTTCCTCTCCTAGTGCCCTGGACCTCAGTTTGTGTCTTTGTCGAGGATGTGGGGGACTAGTTTGTCGGGGGCACGAGGGCTTAACTCCCTCCCTCCCTCCCTCCTTCCCCTGCCTCTCCAATCCACATGATCTCTCATCATACTGTCATCTCCCCTCTTGTGTCCCCTCACTGGCTCCACCACCACCACCACTCTTGCAACAGCCCTCTGTCTTTCTTTTTCCTTTCTTACACTCTATTATATTTTGTATATTCGCATCCTATTTCAATAATGTGTTCCCTCGTCTACACTCCTATTGTCTTCCCCTTGTGTGGACTCCTAGCCCACACGTCTCCTGTTTCCCCTCTCTACACTTGCTGTTTTGCCTTCATCCACATTCCGGTTGTATCCCTTGTTTATACCTCCTGCTATCTTCATTTGTCCGCAACTTCACTGCCTCCTATCGTTCGTAGTCCTTTCCTCTACGATTCCTTATTATTTGTTTCATCTCTTATCTATCTCATCTTTGGAATGAATACTTGAGCCATAACCTTCCTTAACCATTTCCCGCCCTTATCTTTCCTCGCTCTGTTAGGCCTGACCATTCCTCTTCATTTCCATCCCTTAACCACTTCCCTTTATCTTCCCTCCTTCTCATAGCCACTTACCCTTCCATTCTTATCTCCTGCTGTCTACAGCTGTTTTAACGTTTATCACATCCAAACCGTCCCCTTCATTCGTCCCTCTAACCCACTCTACTCTCTGCCCTCCACCCAACCCACCTCTCAGATCGAGGTGTTCTTACACCTGCAGCTCACCCTCGTTACTTAGCTCTCACTCCTAAAACGCCTTATGGTAAGGTGGACCCTCAGCCACCCGCTCTATGCTAAAATACTTGTGCACAAATTTTCAAGCACTCACCAACAAACTAACTGGTAAAAGCAAGCAAGCTTGGCCTTGCTATCATACAAATATAGTGTCAGCAAGGCGGATGCCCTCATGCTATCATAACTTGCACTGTATTGAACATTTCTACAACTAATACTCCACAACTACCTCCATCTTTACTTCCATCCCCTCCCCCTTCAACAACAACAAAAATGGCCCTGGTTGGTGGGCCGGGGGTGCCCTTATTGCGAGGTGGGCTGAAGTGCCCTAATGGCGATGTGGGCCGAGGTGCCCTCTTGGCAATGTGGGCCCTGAGCCCGTGGCCCTGGTCGGTGGGCCGGGGTGGCTTCAACAAGTGTGGGGGGTGAAACAGAGCCCCGGATGTGGCCCCATGGTAGGGTGCGGGTCAGGAGAGATCCAGTTACCCCTCTGCGTGACTCACACACTGCTACCCAACTCCTCAATACGTGTTCGCTACCCTCCTCCTGTCCTCTGTTTGTCATCGTCTCCGCTGGCCCATTGCACTTTACGCACAAAACATGCATTCCTTCGTGGGCCTAGATGTCTTGCTGTACGCTGGCACAGTAGCGCACAGCTACTGCAAATCCCTGTACAGGTGCATGCGTTGGGAAATAGGATTGAGAACGGATCCAGAGATTGCAGACGTTTTGGATACGTATATAGGGTAAAATTCTGAGGGGTAGAGGCCGTAACTTGGGCGGACCCCCCGCGAACACATCTGCTGCATAGGGCCGTGTGCAGAGAGAAAGAGAGCCCTGCAAGAGACCAAATACCACGTTAATTACCAGTAGGGTTATAGGTGGGTCGGTGGGGGGGCAGCCCAGGCGACAATGACCAGGTTTAAGGTTCACCACTCTCCTCCACAGAGTTTTCCCACACCCTGTTCACCTGTCCGCTGCTCCCTCTCCCCCTCTCCACAATCACCTACCCCTCCCATGCCCTGCGGTGCACCCTCTTCCTTCAAGCCTTTTCCACCCTTCCTTTTGTACTGGGAAGGGTCACAGGTGGATGGCCAGACGAGAGGATGCAAAGGCCTTGGGACGTGAGACCATAAAGGCGAAAGTTGTGTTGGTGTTTATGCGGGTATATGCCCCACCAGACTGTCATCTTCTGGGTATTGGGCGAAGGCCTGCGGGGCTCCTCGTCCACACCCGCATCACCAACATTTTC